AGTGGAAGAAGAGCCCACACAAACCTGTTGTGGGCAGACTCAGGAAAGAAGCCTCAATTCACCTACCATCATCACACCAGCCCAAACTTGGGTTCCATTTGCCAAACTCTTTTGGCGTGGGGGGAAAAAAAAAAACCCACAACCAACCTGTTTAGGGGCAAAACTCCCAACCTGGCTGTGGGTGTTGAGCCTCCCCGAGCTGGGCCCAGCACCCAACCAAGCACGTGGGTGCTCCTGCCCCTGGGCGTGTTGCATCCTGCACCTCTGCTGCTTTGAACCCACCTCCCTCTTCACCCCACAGCCCCCAGAGGAGCAGGTGCCTCCACACGGGCCCTGCAGCCCCTCCAGCCCTGCCCCAGGACCATCCTGTTCAGGCCAGGGTGACCTGGATCCCCTCAGAGCTGTCACAGCATCTTCCCCTGCCACACACGCCTGGCTCCTGCCTCCATCCCCCCTCTTGAACACAGCAAAGTGTCCCCAGAGAGGGCTGCCCTGGTGAGCTGGGGTTGGCTGGTGCCCCAGGCATCCCCCAAGCATGGAGGGAGGGGGCTCAGCCCAGGACTTGGCTCATCTGCCCTTCAGGAACGACATGACCAGACTTGCTCCCAAAATTGCTCCCCGAGAGCTCAGGCACAGGCTGCTCACCCTGGCAGCTCCCCTGTAATAACCCACCCTCTGTGTCATCACCATTCATTATCTATGAACATACCCCATCATCTTCATTGCTGCTAAGTCACATCTCGGAGGGGCTGAGTTGCTTTCAAAAGCCACCTGGGCTGGTTCTCCTTTGGCTCTGACACCTCCTGCCCCTGGGAGAAGGGCTGGTGGCCGAGGTAGGACAAGGATCAGGTAGGACAAGGATCTGGTAGGACAAGGATGTGGAGATGGCTGCAAGGACAGGGAACAGGCTGCCCAGGGCAGGGGTAGAGTCCCCATCCCTGGAGGGGTTTCAAAGCTGCGTAGATGTGGTGCTGAGGGTCATGGTTGAGTGGTGGCCTTAGCAGGGCTGGGGGAACAGTTGGACTTGGTGACCATAAAGGTCTTTTCCAACCAAAGCAATTCTGTGCTATGATCAGGGCTGGGGTGGGCAGGAAAGTGACCAGGGCTAGAGTCCTGGGGAAGGCACTGATCTTCCAGGGGACCATGAGAAGACCAAGCAGATTATGCAGGACCACCAAGCATTGAGTGGCTTCAGCAATTCCCTCCCCAGCACTGGGTTTCATCCCTGGGACCCTGTAGCTGCCTGTGTGACCCTGATGGTGGTTCTGGTGCATGGGACAGCAGGTGAGACCTGGCTGCATGAGAGGTGACACCAGGAGTCCTCACTGGGGCTGGTACAAGGGCTTGAGCACCTCACTGCTCAGGCAGCACATGGAGAGGGCAGGTCATCCCAACCAGAGCCAGATGCCAGAGGAATTCTCCAGATTCCTGCACCTCCCCATTTCCTGTGCCACCTCTGACCACCCCACCAGCTGGCAGCAGGACCCTCAGCCTCCCTTACCCCACACTCCTCCCAGAACTTGCTTTTATCCTTCCACTGAGTTAGGGGAGGATCACCAGTGCTGCTCCTCACCCAGGCAGCACAGGTACCTCCCATGCTCCATGCCCAGGAAGGGACAACTCTGCCAGGACATCTCTGCACTGGGTCACTAGCCCTGTGTCATCTGCTGATCCATGAAGAGCTGTCCTGGTGTAGAGGTGTCCTGGCAGAAGGATATCCCAGATCCTCCCTGCCCTGCCCACAGCCCTTGCCCCACACCACAGGGCAGGTGAGGCTGCTGCTTCAAGCCCCTTTTTGTAGCTCCTAAAAGCCACACTGATCCCACATCCCAGACAATCTCAGTATGAGCAGCATGGAAACACTGGGAACAAAGGCTCCAGCTCTGTGCTGACACAGGGGGTGTTTCTCATTTCAGTTCTCACAGGGGCAAAACATCCATAGCATCCTCACCATGACACAACTCCAGAAGGAAAGCAGGAGCTTTCCCCATTTTCCAGAGAAGCTGTAAGAAGCCCCATCCCTGGCAGTGTTGAAGGGCAAGTTGGATGGGGCTTGGAGCAACCTGGGCTGGTGGGAGGTGTCCCTGCCCATGCAGGGGGTTGGAGCTGGATGATCTTTCAGGTTCAACCCAAACCATTCCATGATCCTATGATCTCCAAGGCAGCACAACACCTGCAATCCATGATCCAGAAAGAACAACCAAGCAGCTGGAAAGCAGCCCAGGGCTGGTCCTGCCCCCAGGCTGCAACGTTTCATGTGGCTCCAACACCTCTGCTGGGCAGCTCCCACTTTCAAAGCAGCCCTTCCATGCACACAAGCACCAAAACACAATCAAGGAATGTCTTGTGTCCCACTGTGTGTGTTCTGACACAGACTGTTTGCCAGGAAAACAAACACCCCGTGTGTGTGTGTGTGTGTACATACAAAGGCTTTAAAGAGGATGTAGCTCTGCATTTTTACAGCCCTTTGTTGAAGGGCTTTGTTTTAGGCTTTCTCTTTAGAAACAAAAGCCTAAAGCAAATACAAGGCAGAGAAAGGAATTTTATATATATATTTAAATCTTTTATACTTTCCCTGCATGTGTAACACCTGTACAGCTCCCACACTCCCCAAGGAACATGTTTCCTAGGAAGTATTTCAGGCTGAAATAGGCTGAGAAAAACATTGTTACTGGCTGGTCTGACACACACTGCCAAGGTGAGAATTCCTTCCCAAAGGAAGAAGATGAAGCCCTTCAGGGAATTCTGTCACAGGAGAGACCCAGCATCTCTCCAAGCTTCAATTCTCAGGTGTTCCCCAGCTGTAACAAGCTGCCTGGGCAGTACAACCCTCTCAGGGCAGGTCCATCCACCTCCCTCTGGCCAGTGTGGGGATTAAGTTTCTTACAGAATAATGATGATGAAGTTTTATTTCTCTCCTGTGAGTAAAAGAGGGAATCTCCCAGACAAACCCTGGTGCCATGTTGGAGCACCATGCTCATGGCAAGGCTGGTTTCAGCCCAGCAAACAGCCAGGTTTCAGGACAGGTCTCACCTCAATAAGGCAGGTTCTACTCCTTCCATCCTGTCACCTGCAAAACTGCCTGGTCTGTACATTCCCTGGCTGCAAACAACTGAGTTAGCAAGGTCAGTCACTTCAAAGGGAATTGTTTTCTAAGCAACAGAGACTGGGGGGACTGTGGAAATTTTCAGCAGGAATTGGATATCTAACAGTCCTCCTCAAATCCAAGAGTTGATACCAGCAGATTTGGAATGGTATCTTCAAACTCATCACTAACCTGCTGCCATAGCAAGACCTCCCTTGCTTGTTGGCTCACCCCGAGACCTTGGCAAGCAGCAAAGTGCATCACATCTGCTAGCTGTCAAGTTTTTATAGTTTTCTTTGAATTATTGAGTCATCACCATCATTAGAAACAAGACACCTGCCTGGAATGCTCCAGCAACTGTGTCAACTCTTGCACTCCTCTAACTGGGTGAAAATCAACAATTCTATTCCTTAGGACCAAGTCAGAATTGGAGTCTCTGGACCAGTTGCTTACTCATATAAAACACCCACTGCCACACATTTCCATAGGTCTGTGGAAGGAAAAAAATAGAACCACTTTATTTTCAGTATACAGACTAAATCCCACCATCAAACAATGAGTGAGCACACAAGAATAAAATACTCCACACTTTAAAAAAAAAACCAACAAAGCCCACTTTTTGTTGTGTTTGCTGAGTCCATCATTTCCTGAGGGGTGCTCGCAGCTCTCCAGGGTTGTGTCCAGAAGTAGCTGCAGGACTCCTTTGAGCAACACTCCATCTACTACACTTCAAAAAACACTCCTAGTTTGTATATAAGTGCTACATTTTCCTGTATGCTTTGAAATACTAGTTAGGTCCAACACACTCTCTGCTCCTACGTCAGGTCCTCCTCCCACCAGCACAAGACAAGTTACTTGTAAGAGAAGGTAAAAATCAGCAAGTTGTAGCAAGACAAACTCTTCAGAGGTGCAGAATGATGGCACACTGAGGTCTGCAGCACGTGGAGATGCAGCACAGGCAGCAAGACATCAATACTGACAAGTTGTAGGCACGTGCATGCACAGTCAACTCCACAAAACCTGCTCCATGTCACGACTCCTTCCACGTCACACGCTTCTCGCAGGGGAAAAGAAATAAAAGAGCCCTTCTCAAAGGTAGCCCCCTTGAAAGCTGTAAACACATTTGGATTCCATGTGCTGTCCATGGGCTTGTTATTGCTTGTAGTAAAATTGGAGAAGATTTGGACCTACACAAGAGATCTGTCACAAAGGTCACCAGTGGCCCCTGAGCAGTTTTCACAACCTGATCACTGCAGCTGGTGTGTCCTGCACCCTCCACACCAGCAGTTGGCCACCATACTCTGAACACATCTCATACCATCCTCTAGAAAACAGAGTCAGTGTCTTCTCTGAATTCATATTTACATCTTTAAAAGAGTGGTCAGCATAAAGAAATGTTGATTTTACAAACTTCAGCTCGTTCACCTGGGAAGCAGGTGAGCTGGGCTGCAGTGGCAAGGCCAGCAGTGCCTGATCCCCTCAACACTCAAATGCAAACAAGGAGCTGACATTATTGCAGAGACATTTTACATGCCCAGCAGAGCAGACACACTCTCTCCAGGTGTTCAGGCTGCCTTTGACCCACCTCACCCATGGTGAGCCTAACCAAGGTGTTTAAGAATCCAGTCTTTCCATCTTGCACGTCTCATTGAATGCAAAAGTTTACAATTGAGTGTCTTTAAGGAGAAATAAAGCAGCTCTTGGGATTTCTTCCAAGCAAGCACTGACTCCAAGGCTCCATATACACACACTCTCATTGTTACATGGGGACACCAGCCCATCCTAGCCCCCCAGCCTGGTAACAACCCTCAAGTTCTCTTAAAGTTTCATGCTGCACAATCACCTTCTTTGTTAACAGATCCTGACTATAATCTTGTTTTACAGCCTCTCTAAGTACACTGCAAATGCTGTCCTAGATTATTTCCTGCCTACTGGTGCTCCAGATGCAATGCTACCTAGAAAAACAAACCATACAACTAATTCTTCCAGCAGGTGATCCAAACCAGCTCTGTTCTCACCCAGCAGATTGGCCAAGTTGGGCTGCAGATTGTAAAGTCTCCAAGCTTTCCATACCCTGAAGTGAGGTAGCAACAAGCAGCCTCTGTAACAACACTGCCTCTGTGTTTTTCCCTAGTATTAAATCCCTTTTCCACACAATTTAGTAAGTAAATTAGAGGCTTCTCTGGAGCAGTGGAAGAAGAAAAGAGATGGTAAATAAATAACGAACGATAAGAAGAACTAGGCCAATAGTTTTGCAAAGTTTTCCTTTTTGGTACCAGCACTGAGCACTGCTCGTTTCCAGGTGGAGAAAAATACAAAACACTTCAGTCTCTTTGTGAGCTTAAAGTCCAAGTGACTTCTGCACAATCTGCTTGGCAATTCTGTTAAACTGTTCCCTGTCTTCCCGCCACATCTTGGAGGCATCGACGTTGGCTCCACTTTCATCATTGGGCTCTGAAATGAGAAAAACTGAGATAGGTGGGCAGGCAGGCAAGGGAGCAAGACCCTCTCTCTTTTGTCCAGAATGCCTCAGTACTGCCACTTCCCTGTGGCTCTGGTACACCTCTCCTACTTAGGACTACAGAAAGTCCACCAAAGAAAATCAGTAAGAGCCGCTGGATGGGCAGATGGTTCTGATTGGATTGATGCCACCAGGATATCACAGTAAGGTCAAGATGAGCTAAGGATGGGCCAGACTCTTCTCAGGGGTGTCCAGGGACAGGACAAGGGGCAATGGGCACAAACTGGAGCTCAGGAGGGTCAAGTTAAACATAAAGAAAAGCTTCTTGCCTGTGAGGGTGACAGAGCCCTGGGACAGGCTGCCCAGGGAGGCTGTGGAGTCTCCATCCCTGCAGACATTCCAGCCCCATCTGGATGTGTTCCTGTGGGATCTGCTCTAGGGGATCCTGCTCTGGCAGGGGGGTTGCACTGGGTGATCTCCAGAGGTCCCTTCCACCCTGGACACTCTGTGACTCTATCAGATCAGTGGCCAGCCTACAGCAGGACAAGTCACTAGGACAGAATGTCCTCTACCCATGTTCCTTCACAGTCCAGTCCACGGCAGAATGGATCCATTCCCAGCTGACAAATTATAAACAAATCCAGAGGGTGCTGGCTTGTCCATGGACTCCAGTTTGCCATAGTGGTTAGATCTGACTGCTAACTCTTCAGCTGCTAAAGCCAGATCAAACATAGGCTGCAATCAACAGCTTTAAGACCTGCAAGAGCTGAACAGACATCCTAGCACAGACAAGGATGGAGCACAGAATTTGTACAGGAGCAGGGAACCAGCTGAGCCTCAGCACCCACTTGAGCACCACTATCTGCTTGGCTGCTGCTGACCTGGCAGGAAAGCAGAGCAGTTGCTCGCACAGCTGGAAACACCAGTTTATTAATTCAGTCTGGCTTTTTTCATTTTCAGAGAATGTGTTTATTGATAAATAAACACTAGGGCTTTAAAGGGCAGCTTTAAATGTCCTTTGCTTACCTAAACAGCAAGAAGCAGCTCTAACTAACTCAGTAACTGCTGTCTGAGCTGATAAACCAGCAGCCCTTACCTGCCAGCATGCTGACCACTGACAAGAGGATCTTCTCCACACTCTGCACTGGACTCCACCTCTCAGCACTGCTCTCATATCCCATGGGATCATCCCCAGGAGCGTGAAGAATGGAGATGCAAACTCTTCCATCTGGGTAAACTGCACAAAAAAGAACAGGGGATTGACTGTTACTCAGTGAAAACACTTGGATTCTCCAGATCTTTAGAACAAATAAGTATTTGGACTTGGTCTTCACAGGACTGACTCTAAATTCAGTTTTAAATTTCCTCTCCCAAAGACAAGAGGACATAAACTTTGAAAGACAAAAATCTAGCAACAATTTCCTTTAAGGAAGTCTAACTTGGGATTATCCTCCCTGAACAGAAGCCTGCTGGGGACACTTGCGTCACTAAACAACCAGTGACAGGCTCCATGGAAAAAGAGATGCAGCCTGATGGAACAAGGGCGAGTATTTACACACAGGCACAGATCCCAGTGGGTAACCAGTACTAGTTAAATTGCAGAGTAGGAGTCACACAGCACAGAATGCAGACTGGAGTCTTACATTGGACTGCGACCATAAAAAGAATGAAGCAAACATGCTCTGCTGCAGCAAGGAGGGAAAAGTGGTCGGTTGATATAGTTGATCTTATTTTGAATGTGACTGAGGTGCAACCAGAAGAGTCCACATGCTGAACAGCCCAAGCTCTCTCTGCCTGGCTCCCACCTTTAGCCTAAGCAAAGCACCTGCAACAAAAGCACAAGTCACCTTCACAGACACTGGACTCCAGAGACTTGGTAATGAGGCCAAAGAAAAGTTAAAGAAGGCAGCGCAAAGAGAAAGGGACTCAAGACACTGCTTTAGCACCACGGCCCAACTCTGCAGCCTCCCAAGGAATGACAACTTTGTCAACAAGCTCAGCACTTTCAGTGCTTCTGCTCCTTAGCTGCCCACTGCCAGGAAAACAAGATGAAACAGAAAGAGGAAATCACTGCTGGAAGCAACTGTGCTCATTTCCAGTTCCTTCCAGTTACCCAGCTAATGTCTGCACAGGCCTGCAACATGTAAGGGCTTTGGAAGACTTACTTTCATCCCCTCCTGCAGCCCCAGGCTGGGGACTGGAGCTGCTCTAGCTGTGGCTGGAAGAGATGAAAACAGCAAGTGCTGAAGCAGCACTTCTCCTTGCTCAGTTAGGAACAGACTGGCAAGAAGGGATTTCACTTATAAGTTACTCTCATGTTTTTATGTTTATCTTCATTTAAAACAGCTGGATCACAGCAGCACAGTCAAGACAAAAAATGCATGATCCCAGGAAGATGTAAACATCTTCCCACTTTGTCACAAAGTGCTAATCAAGACTTGCCATTCATTGCTACTCTGAAGTGATCCTGACAGAGCACCCATGAACTGCCTTTTATTTTAAGAGAAGGTAGCTCAGTGGTGTCCCAGTTCCCCCTGTACACAACCCTGACTGTAAAGACCAGCTGGAAAAAGGTGCCAATGTGATCACCCTGCTTCCAGGTGCTAAACTCTGCACTGCTGCAGCCATCAGAGGTAAAGAATTTCTTCCCAAAGAGAACAGAAGTTATGGAAGTGCAGGAACATCAGCTGGGAAGGAAGCACAAAACAGGAGGGCAGCACCTTCAGGACCAGCCCATCAAATCTCTGTGATGATCAACAATCTTTACACAATCCGGGCTAGTTTAGCAGATTTTAAAGAGAATGGCAAAACTGACTCCAGAAAGCTCAAGGCTGTGGAAAGGGGCACATCCAGTGCTCAAACTCATCAGCTGGATTTGTTCCCTCAATTACGTCCACTGAAAAGTTTTAAGAGAATATTGTCACCATCAGAATTGCAGGGAAAAGGTCAGCAAAGTCCTAATGTTAAACATCTCTAAATGTGTCAAGTGCTTGGGCAGAGAGCTCTGTATTTCAGTCAGCTCTGTATTTCAGAAAGATCACATCAAAAATGTTACTAAACCCAGGACTTGATATGGAAAAAACCTGATAAAGCCGCATCCACACATTGCTGAACATGAACACATTTTCACTTGTTTAAAATACTTAAATACAAGCCACACAGCTGGAAAGAGTCTGTATCAATTGACTAAATCGTGTACAGAAGATTTATTCATGCAACAGTTACAAGTATTCCTGGAATGACCTTCAAGTGGAATTGTTGGAACTGTTGATGGCCAAAGGGTAGATGAGGAATAATGTGGTAAAGTGACCCTAAGAGCAGAACTGCTGGGCAGCTGAACACTCCAACTGCATCCTCAAGGCTGGAAAGGCAGAGAACCACCCTTGGCAAGGATGCCAGGCTCTCCTGCTGCAAAAGGTTCTTTTTGAGGTGCACAATCAACCCACTGCCCTGTGCATCAGACTCACTGTTGGGATGGAACATCTCACACGTGAACCTCATCTTCGGAGGACTTAGGGGGTAGTCAAGTGGGAAGCTCAGGATGGCAGGGAAAACCCCATATTCAAAGCAGGTGTCTTCAGGACCCCTAGAAAAAGGAAAAGAAGAAGAAGAAAAAAAAAGGTATTCACCAGAGTTGGAAGTAGTTCTTTCACCCAAATTCTTGTTTGATGAGACATTTGAGGTGTGGGTTGTATCCCCTTCTCCAGAAAACAAAGAGTTAATGCACTCTCACCCCACACCTCTTAAACTGAAATCCAAACAGGGGGTTTGGGAGGGAAGGGGGATATCAAAGCTTGCACACTAAATTACTAGGAAGGTCACAACACTGCTTAATTAGCAGGGTGTGTCTGGATATAATTGGAGTATCTGGCTCCAAGGCATGTTCCAGGATTTGAGTGTCTGCACGTCAGGAGAAGGCAGAGGCAGGTGTGGGACTCCTGGTGCCTTTGAAGATGCTGTTCTGCTGCACAAGCCAGAGATGTCAAACACTCTAGCTCCAAAATAATGCAGCAAAGCCACAGAGATCCAAACTGCCAGTATCGAGCAGAACCATACACAAACATTTCTCACTATCTGATGCAGAAAACACAGCAAGGCTTTTGTCAAAAAGGCAAACACCAGCTCAGGGACCACAACTGCCAGATGCAGGATGCCAAGATTTCTTTGCAGACTGAAGGTATTGAAGTTTGCACTCCCACAAGTGCAGGCAGAGAACAAATGGCTTCACCAAGATTCTCTCAGAAACATTTCCTCATTGTGTTCACCATCCAGTTCAAAGTGCAACCCAGTTGAGAATATAAAGGCAACTATTTTACCCTCCCTCCATAAAACATTTGTGGAAGGTGAGCAAAAAAGGTTTCTTAGATGTGACTTGATGAACCATCTGGAAGGTCTAACACAAACAGGAGGTCCCTTGATGGGAAAGATCATGAAACAGGCTTCATCACTGAAAATCTTAGCCAAGGAAACCCCATGTATTTAGTAAAAAGCTCTTCCAACAAGGGTTTCTCTGGGAAAGAAGGTTTAGGAACATCTCAATCCACATTCTCCACACCAGAAAGAACATGAAAGGTCAAGGACTCCCAGCAGTTCAGACTGCAACTGGTAACCTACAGATAAAGAAAATTGAGACCAGCAAAACCTAAAGCCCTTGGAGGCTCACTCTCCTACACTTCAGGACTCAGAAGCCTTGCCTGGTAGATAAAACACCAGAGCTACATGATTTAACCTTGAATATTGACACTAGAGAAATGCATCAACATACTGCAAGAATGAAAGCTAAACCATGTCAATGATTTTGTTTCCTCTGTGGCCTTTGCCCTAAATTTAGTCAGGATTCAATTCACATCTGAAAGGAAACTGAGTGCATTATTATTTTTTTTCCCATGAACATTTTCATTCCAGCTGCATTTTAAAGGCTTATTGTTGGACTTCTAAGAGCATGTACATAAATGCATTGAAAAGCTGGTGGGTGTCTTCTGTTTTGAGAGCAAACACACAGCCTTGAGGGCTCTTCTGTCAAATATGTTAACCCAACATGCTCCATTTCAGGCCCCGTATTCTGTGAGCAAAATACCCTTTTGTTTTAGCCATTCCCTGCTGCCAGGATCAACTTCAAAAGAAATAATTCAAGTTAATCCAAGACAGGGTTTGCAACCACGTAGCACTCAGGAGGCTGCAACACTGAAACTCGACAGCATCACTTTCAGTTCAAAAAGGACATCAGAAGGGCCAGAGAGGTACAAAAAAACAACACAGCACCTTTGGAAACCTTTGCAGGTGGTGCAAGGGCAAAGTGCAGCATATGGAAAGCCTCTGTTCCTCACAGAATCAGAGACAGGTGAAGGTTGGAAGGGACCTCAAAGACCATCCAGTTCCAACCCCCTGCATGGGCAGGGACACCTCCCACCAGCCCAGGTTGCTCCAAGCCCCATCCAACCTGCCCTTCAACACTTCCAGGGATGGGGCAGCCACAGCTTCCCTGGGCAACCTGGGCCAGTGCTTTCCTACCCTCATGGTGAAGAATTTATTCCTAACATTTAACTTAAATTTCCCCTGTTCCAGTTTTCATCCATCCCCCCCTGTCCTCTCCCTCCCTGCCCTTGTCCCAAGTCCCTCCTCAGCTTTCCTGGAGCCCCTTCAGGCACTGGAAGGTGCTCCAAGGTCTCCCTGGAGCCTTCTCTTCTCCAGACTGAACACCCCAACTCTCCCAGCCTGGCTCCAGAGCAGAGCTGCTCATCATCTACATTGTCTCCCCTGGACCCTTTCCAACAGTTCTCTTTCCTGTGCTGAGGGCTCCAGAGCTGTACACAGTATTCCAGCTCTAGGCTCATCAGAGCAGAGGGGCAGAATTCCCTCCCTTGACCTGCTGGCCACACTTTGTCTCCTATGATCTTTTCTGAGCTGCTATGGTAGGTGGAGTCCAGACTACCCAGTCCTTGATTAGGGATCAGTCACAACTCTGGTGACATGAAGACACAGCATGAAAATAAGCAACTCTGAACTCCACGAGGTCCTTAGGCAAGGGGAAGAAAAGGATGGTGGGTATCTGCCACAATAGGAGGGAAAAGTGCCTTGACACTGTAACCAGAGCTTCATGTACATTTGCAAATGTTTTATTTTTAAAAGGAGGCTGGAAAAAAAAAAAAGGCCAAAACCCACAGTCATCAGATGCCAAAACGGGGAACTCCACACTAAGCAGAAGTTGTGAGTCTAATTATAGATCTAATTACCCTTGTAGACAGGTTTTTGGTAAGTTGTCTTCATTTACACTGCTGAGTTTGCAGACAATCTTCAGGCTAATGAAGTTATTAACATCAGGATGTGTTTGTCTTTGGGGATAAAGCTTTCAGAACAACACAGACTCATCCAGGCCAACCAAAGAGGGCAAAACTTGGTCTTGAAATGCTCAATTCACAAACCTGGGCAACACAAGGCAGCCTGTCAGACCCCACACAGAGCTGAGGAGCCGAAGGGCACGACAGTAAACTCTCTCAACACACTGGGGCTATTTATCCTCCTGAATAAGTTACCTTGCTGCAAAGATTTGGCTTTCATGAATACTCTTAATTCAGCCACTGTTTGATGTCTTATCAAAAGGGTGCATTTTATGTCAGGCTCCAAAGCTCCACTGCTCAGAAAGATTATCCCCTTGTATTTCCAGTTCTGGATCTGTGGCACTCACTTTGGGAGAGCAAGAACTCTTCTCTCTTTCAGACATGTCAACACAGCCTTAACATTTATATGTTTAACATTCATCCAGCACTGCTGCTGCAGGCAACAACACCAGGAATACAAATTATTACCACCATTATTTTTAAAGGCATTATTTTATCTCTGAGCCAAGCTCTTACATCAATTTGTGTAACATTACCCAGCCCACTTCTGAATTGATAAATGGGCAAGGTCTTTTCTCTCTTTTTTTTTTTAAATTTATTTGCCATTACATGTGCTCTGGCTTTATATAAACTAGGTGAAGAAGCAAAAAAAAAAAAAGAACTCTGCTCTCCTCAGTATCATGGGACTTGCTTACCTTCTGTACTTCATCTGTATAGAAAATTTGAGGCCACCTTGAATCTCCTCATCTGCACTTCTCCCATGCCCAGAATCTCACACAGCACATTGTGAGATTACAAAACATTGGAGAAGATTATCACAGACAAATGTAAACAAGACATTAAGCTTCCTTTCCAAACGTATGCAAACCCTTCTACTGGCAGAGTTTTTGTAAAGAGATGAAAGCAACCAAAGGTTTTTAGGGCAAATATGTTTCTATTGTACCACAGCTTCAGAATGGAGCAGATCTTAAAATCTATTTTTATTGTGACACACAAACAATGCAGAAGCCCAAACTAAAGCACCTTTACCTCTCATTTTGTGCTGACAAAAAGACCTGAAGCTCCATGCTCAGCACTTTAAAGGGCTTTCAAGTCTGCGGCTCCTCTGTTGTTTAAGAAGCTGTCATAGGAAACACCAGAAAAAGTATTTTCTAGGTAATGGATTAAATCCAGAAGCACTTCTGTGAGACCCCCATGACAGCTCTACTCACCCACACATTCTTTGCTAAGAGAGTTGCAACAGGCAGGAATTCCCTTCCATATTCCAAGAATCATTCCCTGCCTGCATCAGAAAAGACATTCCCAGCCAAAGACAGACTAAGGTCCATATGATGATAGTGATACTAGTTTTTCATGCTCTTGTTCTCCCAGAAGCTCATCACAACATGCAGGTGCTGATTTCAGACACAAACCAGTATTAACTCACATAATCAGGGCTTCCCATTCAAAGAAGTTCTCTTCATTCATGGGACCTATTAAAAAAAACAGAAGAAAACAAGGCTGAGTCCTACCTGAGCACAAGGCTACAATTTCACAGTGCACAAATCCTGCTCAGCTCCTCACCTGCTACTATTCCTTCTGGGGGGTTCAGGGTCAGCTCTGGAAAAACAAAAACAGAAGGTTAACAAGACCAGTTAGTGAAGGTTAACAAGCTTGGCCATTTCAGCCTGTGTTTGGGTGGCCACAGCTTAGCCCAGACCAGCAAACCCTTGGAGAAAGGCTTTGAGGACATCACAAGAGGAATCTTTCATTCACACTTTACTGGGCAAAACTCCACATCCAGAAGGCTCCATATCTCACTGCTGACAATTTTAACTTCTTCATCCAAGACAGTTTTCTAGACAAAAATTATCAGAGAATTGTTCTGGTTGGAAAAGATCTTTAAGATTATCAAGTCCAACCATTAACCTAACTCTGCAAGGTCCAGTCTAGGCCACATGTAGTCAGTTTCTCCAGGAGACTGCTGCAGGAAACAGTGTTAAAAGCTTTGCTGAGGTCCAGCTAAAACAGCCATAGCCTTTCCCTCATCCACTAGGTGGGTCACCTTGTCACAGAAGATTAGGCTGGTCATACAGGAGCCTGGATCCTCCTTTTGGCTCTTCTTGTAGATGGGGGTCACATCTGCCAATCTCTCAGATCAGTGAAAGCAATTAGGTCAACTTAAGTAAGGACTGTGAGCTGCTTGTCATAAAATGATAATTGAGTGGTTTGGGTTGGAAGGGACCTTCAAGTCACCCAGATCCAACCCCCCTGCATGGGCAGGGACACCTCCCACCAGCCCAGGTTGCTCCAAGCCCCATCCAACCTGCCCTTCAACACTGCCAGGGATGGGGCAGCCACAGCTTCCCTGGGCAACCTGGGCCAGGCTCTCACCACCCTCACACTCCACAGTTTCCTCCTCATGTCTCACCTCAGTCTCCCCTCTGCCAGTTTCAACCCATCACCCCTTGTCCTCTTGCTACAAGCCCTTGCCCCAAGTCCCTCCCCAGCTTTCTCTCCTGTCCTGGAGGTTATCCTAACCAGTTGCCTCTAACCAGTGCCCTATGGACTCCTAGTGGCCCCCAAACACACAAAACACAGCAATACGAAATCCCACCTGCATTCCTCCCCAGAACACAAGTCCAAGTGCAGACCTGGGAAGTCACAAAACAACAAACAAGATGCCTGACCTCATTTCTTTCAAGCTACACATGAAGGCTGAGGGGAGCACCCCACAAAACAGCACATGGCTTTTTGTCTGAAAACAGCTCAGTTACTGTTGGGTACACAAAGAGGAAAGACAGCAGAGCTCCTCAGCTCTCAGATTGCCATCAACCTTGGCACAGGCCCCTCCAACTGAAGTTCAAAAGCACAGCAGCAGCTTGAAACTCAGAGCTATGGTTTCCCTGATGTGAAGGAGCAGGTTTTTCCAGCTTGGTATAGTGGGTCTCCCAACAGCTTTTCTTGATGCTTTTTTAGACAGCAGGAGGGAGAAGTCAAATCTAGGAGCTCCTGGAATCATTTTACTCCATCTGGTGGCTCTCTCTAGGAAGAAAATCCCTCTGATATTTCCCTTGAAAGGCCTGCCTGGTGGCAGCCTCTGTGTGTCCCCTGCAGAGCTGTGCCACACCAAAGGGAAACTGGGGCAGTGGGAAGCAGGAGCCAAAGCCTGGTGAGTAAAGGGTCTTTAGGAGGATGGAGGTTCAGCTCTTCACCTTGCTCAGCTTTCTCCTTGGAGACAGACAAAAGAGGTTTCCATCCCTCAGGATCAGGCAAAGCAGTAACTGGGCAGTGAAAGGGGATGTAAGCTTGGATTTTTTTTAGTAGCTGCTACTACACCTGGTCACTGAGGAAGGAAAAAAAGCCTTTTCCACAGGAATGGTCACATCCTACCCCGTGATTTCTCTAGAGCCATTCAAAGAGAAACTGGAAACACAGCTTTTGGGAGCTACAATGAACTGCCAGGAGCTGACACAGCATCAGAGCTGACCAGAGCCTGCACAACAGGGTCACTCTAATAGAATGTTGAGGGGGAGGAGGGGGGTGTGCTTTTTTTTCCAATTTTGAAGCAAGCAGCAAAAATCAGGTGATCAGAGCATGAGTTTTAACATCTGACTGCAGGATGACTTTGACAAGTCAGCTGGGCCAGAGACTCCTCCCCACTCCCCTCTGTCACCCTGTCCCCCCCACGCAGGTGGCAGGGGACAACAGGAGCACAGCAGCAGATGAAACAGCCCACCCTGAAACAGCATCCAGCCTGGGGGGGTGGGGAAACTTGTGGTTAGTCAGGGTTTGGCCACCTGGCCTGAAATACACCCCCCCAAGCCTGGTTTAAACCATGGTTTAACGCTTTCCCAAGGAAAGCTCTTAACTGTCCTCTCACCTGCTCCCCCATGCCAGCAGTGCCAGTGCACACCCACACCCCAGCCACTCTCACCTGGTGGCCTCACTAATGTGCTGCTTCTGTCCCCACCTGCAGTATTTCCCAGGAAGAGCAAGGAACTGTTAACCCTCTGTGCCTGCCAAGAGTTCACAGCCTCTACCACAAGCCATTGGTGGAAGGAAATGTGGGTCCTACAGCTCCAGCAGCCACTTGAGAGGGGCAGCTTGCACAGACCCAAGACCACCTTCCTCAATCCCTCCTCTACAACTGCCCAGTCCTTTGTGGAACACCCTGGGAAGGTTAACATTCAGGCTTAACTCTGGGTTGGGGAGCAAAGTTTGAGGGGAGCACCCACTAAAGGGAAGTGACAACCCTGGAAATGCAGCCACAGCACAAACCAGGGGGCCCCAAGGTTTGGCTTCTGTAACTCAGGGTTCCCCAGAAGTCACAACATGTTTAATTAGAGTCAGGGAAGTATTTCTAAAGGCAGATCAGAAGATGTGATCTCAGTTCACTGTGTGACTCTGGGAAACCTGAGGAGAAGGTTCATATCATGATGCTGCCTTTAGCATGAAGCCAAATCATCTGTAAATACTCTCAATTTTATACAGGCTGGAGTCTTCCACTACATGATGGCAAAGTGAAAAACAACTCCTCATCCCTGGAGCAGCCTCAGGAGCTCTGGAAATGACCTTCCTTGGAGCAGGAGTCCTACATCCTAACCCCATCCTTCCCCTACCCTACCCAACACTGATTTTTTTCCTCTCCATAATATCTGCTTGTCTCAAATCAAAGCCAGAACATCAGAGGCAGAAAGCAGCTAGGCAAATAAACTAATTTCTTGCCAAAAAAGGCAGCTGTGGACACACCACAAGCTCACCAGAGGGGGGAGCAGATCACCCACCCCAGGAGAAACACATCCCAGAGGGACCCAGACCCTGTTCCCTACAACCCACAGATTTTTAAGCAAACCAACCCATCAACCTATAAATCCCGGTCTAAACGCTGTTCCCAACGGCCACGCGTCCATTCAGGCTCTGACCACCACATTTCACGCTCCCTCACGTAACAAAGCCCCGCTCCAGGGGCTGCGTTGAAGCTTCACCCGGCCAATTTCACCGGGCGATACCACAAAAAGAACGGGCCGCTTGGCTCGGATTCTCACGGCCGAGCTCCCAGACGCTGTGATTCGCTCACAAAGCGGCTCCCGGGGCCCCAAGGCCTCGGCTCCCGGTGCTTGCTGAGCAGGAGGATGTCCCCGCAGCCCCGGGGGGTGCCTGCCGTGCCTCCCACCGCCCTGCCTGCCCCTCTGGGGACGCAGGGAGAGCTCGGCAGGCGCAGCGGGGCAGAGGAGCCGGCGGGGGAGGGAAGAACCGGCGGCCGGGGGGCTGCGGGAGGTGCCCGGGGGGGAGGC